CCCCCCCCCCCCCCCCCTGCTGAGAACACCCTGGGGCAAGCCCTGCTTTCCCTTCCTGAGTCGTCGGATGGTTTGCCAGAACCTCCTTCAGGCCAACCGAAAGTCCTTCTCCATGGCCTCCCCGAACTCCTCCCATGCCCGAGTTTTAGCATTCGCGACCACCGCAGCTGCAGCCCTTCTGGCCTGCCGGTACCTGTCAGCTGCTTCGGGAGACCCCTGGGCCAACCAGGCCTTGAAGGTCTCCTTCTTCAGCTTGACTCTGTCACTGCCCACGTGAGCGTTGAAGTCCCCCAGGAGAACTATGGAGTCGGTAGGCGGCGCCCCTTTCCAGGAACCCTCCCACTGACTCCAAGAAGGCCGGATACTCTGAACTGCTGTTTGATGCATAAGCACAAACCACAGTCAGAGCCTTGCTCCCCGCAACCCGTAGGCGCATGGAGGCGACCCTCTCGTTCTCCGGGGAGAACTCCAACACAGCGGCGCTCAGCCGGGGGCTCGTGAGTATCCTCACACACGCCCGGCGCCTCTCACCCTGGGCAACTCCGGAAAAGGACAAAGTCCAACCCCTCTCCAGGAGCTTGGTGTGTGTGTGTGTGTGCGTGTGCGTGTGTCCAACTATATCTAGCTGGTACCGCTCCACCTCCTGCACCAGCTCTGGCTCTTTCCCCGCTAGCGAGGTGACGTTCCACGTCCCTAGAGCTAGTCTATGCTGCCGGCGATCGGCTCGCCCAGGCCTCCCGCCTGACCCGCCGCCGGTCTGCATTGCACCCAACCCCGATGCTTATCCCTGCGGGTGGTGGGTCCACAGGGTGGCTGCTCCATGCTGTTTATTCGGGCTGAGCCCGACCGGGCCCCATGGGCGAAGGCCCGGCCACCAGACGCTCGCCGACGAGCTCCCCTCCTGGGTCTGGCTCCGGGAGGGTGCCCCGGTTTCCCTGGTCCGGGCGAGGTGACTGAAGTCCGTGGGCTGCTTTTCATTGGGGTCATTTTGAACCGCTCTTAGTCTGGGCTCTCCCCTGAGACCTGTTTGCCTTGGGAGACCCTACCAGGGGCTAATGCCCCGGACAACATAGCTCCCAGGATCACTGAGCCACTCAAACTCCTCCACCACGTTAAGGTGGCGATTCGCGGAGGAGGATCTGGTCAAGGACTGTCTTTGACCTCATGGCTCATAATTGCTCACGAAACGTACTGTATTTTATTTATATTTTTTGTTTTAAAGCAATTTTTAGGAAAAAGTGTTTTCATGATTTCTTGTCGTTTTTTTTTTTTTTTTTTTTTTTTTTTTTTTTTTTTTTTTTTTTTTT